GCAGGTGCCCCTGCCTCTAAATACTAGAGTTCTTCCCACTTGTGCCTTTCCAAAGGATTTAAAATTTATTTAATCTTATTTATTAGGTTTTTTTTTTTTTTTTGAGAGGTTTTTGCTATAAGGTGCGTGTGCTCACCAGACAGACAGAGACAGAGAGACAGAAAGTGAGAAATCACCCTCTGGGGGGATGGCCACGCCGCAATCCCTTCTCCATTCTCCTCTCGGGATCTTGGGCACACACGCACACGCGTCTGGCATGAGTTTAAGCCACCGGGTCCGGGACATGAACTGCGGTCAACTACATGGGAGTCCAGCGACATAGCCGTTATGCTAACTGCTGGTCCCTTATTTATTAGTTTTTAATTTGCCGTAGGGCATGCACACTCAAAAGACAGAAAGAGCAAGAGAGGGAAAGGGAGAAAGCAAGCCGTCAGGTCTGGGACTCACCCACAGTCAGCCATGTGGGAGTCTAGTACCCCAACCACCATGCCACCTGCTGGCCCCTCCAAAGGCTTTTAAAATTAATCTCTGATGACAAGTTTGATGCTTTGGTCCATCCAGGCTGCTATCATAAAACGTCAGAGACTGGGTAGCTTATAAACAACAAAAGTATTTCTCATAGTTCTAGAGGCTGGGAAGTCTGAGATCAAGGTCCTGACAGATCTGGTGTGCAGTCAGGACCTGGTCTTCTCGGTGTAACCCTATATAGCCAAAGCGGTAAGCCAATTTCCTCTGCCTTCGTGACCCAATCACCTCCCAAAGGCCCCACTTCCTAATACTATCACCTTGGGGCTTAGGAAAGCAACATGTGCATCTTGGGGGCACAAACATTCAGTCTAAAGAACCTGGGGTCTTCCTTTTAATCTCTAGTGTTTCCAGCTGTTCCCAGCACACCTCCCTGTGACTTTCTCTGCAAAGCCCTTGGGTGTCTGAGCCCTGAGGCCATGAAATGGGCAGAGCAGGGACCACACCATTTCATAGGTGACGTACGGGCTGTCAGTACCAACGGATGGCTTTGGCTAGTCCCTAGAATTTGTGACCAAACTCCCTCCCCTGAATCCAGGTTTGGTTTTTATTCAATGACAATTTCCTTCTACTAGTTTTTCTTTATTTAATAAAAAGAAACATACGAGTAGATTCTGATTCTTCAAGGTTTTTTACACCAGACAAGTTTCTTTAGAAATTGACTATTGGGGGCCAGCAGTTAGCGCAATGGTTATATTGCTGGACTCCCATGTAGTCGACCGTGGTTCGAGTCCCGGACCCGGCAGCTTAAACTCACACCGGGCACATGTGCGTGCGTGCCCAAGATCCTGAGAGGAGAATGGAGGAGAAGGGATTGTGGCGTGGCCATCCTTCCCCAGGGGTGGTGGCGTGGCGGTAATGATTTCTCGCTTTCTGTCTCTCTCTTTCTGGAGAGTGCACATGACCTATAGCAAAAAGTTCTCTAAATAAATAAATAAATAAATAAATAAACTTTAGCAGGCCTTGGGTGGGTGTGTGGCGTACCTGGTTGGGGTGGGAGGAATGGAGTGGGGAGGTGCAGCAGATGTAGGAGGGTAGGTTCCCAGGTGCCGGATACAGCCCCTGGGGGTATTTTCCTTATATGACCAGGCCTCATTGTGAGTCTGAGAGGATTATGAAAATGTGGGAGGCGAAGTGGGGCTGGGGACCGGGCGCAGAGGGATGAAGGGCGAAGGGCAGCAGATGAGGCTGGACAGGGGAGGTTTAGGGAGGCCACTGTAACTGTGAGCCCTGGCTGATGACGGGACCACTATGCAGTCTGAGTTCTGGGAACCACCTGATGGAGCGTGTCCTGAGAACTGAGGCTGGCCAGTGGGCGGCGGCTTGGGCAGAGAGAACAGAGTCCCACAGCGCGGGGCTCGAGAGGGTCTGCGCTTGGTTCTAGGCTGTGGCTCGCGTGGTTGGTGGCGTTTTGTTTGTTGCCAGTTCTGGAGCCCTAGTTTGATCAAACATGTTGGTAGCCTGCTCACCGTGTGGTCCTTTAATTCTACTTCTCATTGTGAGCTTTTAAGACTGTTAACAGACACAGTAAAGTGGAAAGAGCTGTGCAATGCACGCTCCCCACCACCTACGTTCGAGAGTTAGGACTTGCCATATTCGCTCTTTCGACTTACTCATCAGCCTTTTTTTATGTAGACTTTAAATTTCACCCCACAAACACTTAAGCATGCATGAGTTGAATATTTAGTTCTAAGACAGAAGACCCCATGTAGTCAAATATACAAATCTTTTTAATTTTTTTTTTGAGAGGTTTTTACTATAGGGCGCGTGCACTCACCAGAAAGACAGAGAGAGACAGAGAGACAGAAAGTGAGAAATCACCCCCCAGGGGGGATGGCCACACCGCAATCCCTTCTCCTCTCAGGATCTTGGGCCCGCATACACACGTGCCCGGTATGAGTTTAAGCCACTGGGTCTGGGACTTGAACCACGGTCAACTACATGAGAGTTAAGTGACATAGCCATTAGGCCAACTGGTGGACCCCCAAATGTACAAATTTTAAATTAGATAAGCTTCACAATTGACTGGGCTCTTATTTGCACTCCTTAAAAAAGAAAAAGAAAAGAAATTGACTATAGCTGGGACCAGCAGATGGTGTAATGGTTGCATTGCTGGACTCCTATGTAGCTGACGACGGTTTGAGTCCTGGACATGGCAGCTTAAAACTCACACCAGGTGTGTGTGCACCCAGAGTCCTGGGAGGAGAATGGAGGAGAAGGGATGGCAGCACGGCCATCCCTCCTGGGGGCTGATGTCTCACTTTCTGTCTCGGTCTCTCTGGCGAGCACATGCGCCCTATAGCAAAAATCTCTCTTGAAAAAAAGAAAGAAATTGATTATAGCTAATATAGACAGAAAGGAAATTAATTGAAAGGACGTAGGAGCTCCTGGGACCAGAAGAGGTAAAGATGAAACTGGAGGAGCTCTCGGGATCTTTATAACATATGCTAATTGATAATAGGCCTCATTGGCACTGTCCCTAGGGTGGAAGGAATCACACCGTCATGGGGGAGAGGTCTGTTTTCCGGGCCTCTCCACATTCGGAGGGCAGACTGTCAGGCCAGGTGTGGGCCATAGACTGGAGGAGAGTTGACATACATGAAACATACATCCCCAGAGGGAGGGGTTAGTCACCTAAAAAGAACTTAGCGCTGTGGTTTTGTTTTGTTGTTTTTGCTTTCTTAAGCAGGAGAAAGGTATAACAAAACACCTATACTTCTCAGGCTTCTAGGAGGGTGAGATGGTCTCAAAGGGTGTCCACACTGGGCTCTTCATGCCTGCTGTGTAAGTTAGGGAAGTCGGAAGATCTCACTTACACATATATGTTCTCAGGGGTGGAGAGCTTTGGGGCATTTTCAGACACTGAGCCAGACGTCCTTGCCTGGACTCGAACAGACTGATATGAGCCAGGTAAAGACAAAAGTGTCCTTGAAGGTGGCTACAAATGTGTATGATACCAGTTCTTCTAAAAGAAAAAGTTAAGGTATAATTTATGTAATAGAATACAAAGGTCTTTTTTTCTTTAAGAGTGTCCCCCCCCTTAGGATGTGTATTTGTTAGAGAGAAAGAGAGAGAGACAGGGAGAGGGAAAGTGAGAAATCACTCTCCAGGGGGATGGCCACTCTGCAATTCTCTCTCCTCCACCCTCTTCCCAGGTTTTGGGCCCACATGCACCCATGCCCGGTGTGATTTTCATGCCACTTGGTCCAGGACTTGAACTGTGGTTGGTCATGTGGGAGTCCAACGATGTAACCACTACTCCATCTGCCGGCCCCTAGAATACACACATTTTAAATGCACTATTTAAATATCAAAACTTATACTCTAGTAACTCACGCCCTAATGAGGGCGTATAGGACGTTTCTATCACTCCAGAATTCTTTCTTGCCCATTACCAGCCCATCCCTGCCCCACTGCCCCATGCCAGTTGAAAGGTTCCATGTAAATGGAGTCTTACAGGTAAGTCTTCTGTGTCCAGCTTCTTTCATTCCGTGTATAGTGTCCGTGTTGGCGTATGTGTTAGTAGCTCATTCTTTTTATTGCTGAGGAGTAGTCCCAGTGGCGGAATATGTCAGAACTTATTTACCCTCCTACTTGTTGGCCAACATTTGGGTTTCTACAGTAGTTTTGGCTACAGTGGATAAAAGTTATAAACATTTATGCACAAGTATTTTTGTCATCTGTTTCTCTTTCAGGTAAATACCTAGAAGTGGAATTTTGGGATTGTAGGTATATATGTACTTAATTTCACAAGGAAACATCAACAAGTTTCCCAAGGTGGATTTACCATTTTATGTTACCACTGGCAATGTCTGAAAATTCTGGGCACTTTGCATTCTTGTTGACGTTTGGTATTTTCAGTCTCTATTAAACTTAAATCCTTCTAGTAAGTATACAGACCTTATTTTGTTCTTTAAGAAGGTTATTTATTTGAGGGAGAGACACACACCACAACCTGGAAGAGTCTTGCCATACCACAATCCTCCTTCCATACTCCCAGCCAGCCCGGATCACAGGTGCAAGCATGATTTCTGGGTGTGTCTGTCAGGATGTTCTCAAGTGTGCATGTAGGCAGCTTGGCGTGTTCAGGTTAACCTGGGATTCAAATCTGAGTATCCCATGTGGCTCCAGTGTCACGCAGTGGTGTCCTGCCACCTGTGCCACCACAGCAGGGCCTTAGACTCCTTTTGATTTGTGTTTCTCTGAGACTATTAATGACAAGCATCTTTGCATGTGCTTCCTGGCCACAAACATCTTTGTGTGTGTGTGAGTGTGTGTGTGTGTGTGTGTGTGTGTGTGTGTGTGTGTGATGTGTCTGAAATAGTTTTCCCATTTAAAAAATTGATTGTTGTCTTAGTGGGTTTTAATAGTTTTCTTAATATTCTGAACACAAGCCCTTTATAAAATATATATCGCTCTAGTCTGTTCTGTTGCATACAGCAAACACCTGCATCTGGGTGGTTTAAGAGAAGAGATTTATTTACTTGATAGTTTGGAGGTCCATGGCCCATGAGCCACATCTGGCAGGGGTCTTCTTGTTGGTGGAGTCCTGAGGCTACGCAGGGTGTCACATCAAGAGAGACTAAGCGCATGTTTATCTGTGTCCATCTGTCTCTGTCTTCTTCCTGCTCCTTATAAACCCAGCAGAAATCAACCATAGGAACCTTACCCTGATGACCTCAACCCTAATCTCCTCCCAGAGGCCCCATGTTTCAACATCAGAGTCTTACTAAATTCTGCTTCCTTAATTCCATTACAACGAAGTCACAACTCTTGAATTTGGGGGCACATTCACACCGTAGCACATGGATTTAAAACATTTTCTTGCAATCAATGACTCGTCTTTTCATTTTCTGAATAGACGTTTGACTCTTAAAAATTTGATTTATGAACTTTTTATTGTACATTTTCTATCTGGTCTAAGATTTTTTTTATCACAAAGATTTCTCTTTCTGGAAGTGTAATAGTTGTAGCTTTTACGTTTAATTGATGAGCCTTTTCTAGTTAATTTTTCCGAGTTAAAGGTCAAGGTTGATTTTTCTCCACATGGATTGCTAGTTGTTCCAGTATCATTTGAAAAAGAGAAAAAGTGTATCCTTTTCTCATTGAATGACCTTGGCACCTTTTGTCAAAAATCAATTGGCCATGTATATATAACTCCATTTCTAGACTACCTCTTCTGTTCCATTGATCTGTAAGGCTATTCTTACGCAATATCACAATGTCCTGGTTGCTGTGGTTTTATAGTACATTTTGTAACCAGGTGATGGAAATCTCCCAACTTATCTTCCTCAACATTGCTTTGATTTTCCTAGGTCCTTTGGCTTTCCATATAAATTTTAGAGTTAGCTTGTCAATTTCTTAAAAATTCCTGTTGGAATTCTATAGAGATTGCAGTAAATAGATCAAGTTAGGGAAATTAATATTTTCCTGTCCACAAGCATAGACTTCCTCCATTTATTTAGGTCTTTAAATTTTGTGTTTTTCTATTTATTATTATATAGGTCTCAGACATATTTTGTTAAGTGTATCACTAAGCATATTAAGCTTTTCATGTTATCTTAGATGTAGTCATCAGTTTTACTTTTTATTGCTAATATATATGATGGTTAATCTTATGTGTTAATCTGACTGGATTAAAGGTTACTCAGACAGCTGGTAAAACCTGATTTCTGGGTGCGTCTGTGAGGATGTTTTCTGGAAGAAATAGGGCCTTCAGGGTCCAAGTTGAAAAGAAAGCAAGAGAAAGAGCGAATAGAAAAGAAAGGAAGAGAAAGAGCGAATTCTCTCTTTGAGCTAGGCCATCCTTCTTCTCCTGCCCTCAGCCAACGGAGCTCCTGGTCCTAGGGCCTTTGTTCAGACTCTAGAGCCAGCCTGTCCTTCTCTCCTCAGGCCTTCAGCCTCAGAATAGAAATGACACCATCAGTCCCTCTAGTTAGTCCTCTGGACTCACGCTGAGCTACACCACTCGCTTTCCTCATTCTCTAGCTTGCAGATGGTGTATTCTAGGACTTTTTGGCCTTCATAATAAATCTCCTTATGTATCTATTTTTATCCCATTGGTTCTCTGGAGAATGTTGAATACAATACAGAAACGACCAATTTTTGTGTATTGAACTTGGCTCTATCAAGAATTTGGAAGGCTCTGAGATTTTACTTGCAAGCTACCAAATTTCATAGTTGCTGGCAGAAGGCATGAGAATCCTACATCAGAGACAAAGGACAGGTTATTATTCACAGCAGTAGCAGCAATCAGATCAGTTTTTGCACCAGTTCTCTAAGCTCTGCCTTCTGTCCGGCAAAGAGG